CGTGATTACGTCAGATGAGGCTAAGTAACGCGTGATTACGTCAGATGAGGCTACGCAACGCGTGTTTACATCAGACGAGGCTACGCAACGCGTGATTACGTCAGACGAAGCGACAAGCTTTGCGGTAGTAAACAGGAAGTGAAACTTGCTAACTAGCAGAGGCTAATCATCTCGGGACAATGGAGCGATTTAATGGCTTAATGGCTAATTTAACGTTTCTTTCTGGCCCACCCATATTTTCTCAGGCCCGACCTAAAATCAATTTCTGGCTACGCCACTGGTTTCCATCTCCCTTTTTGCGCATTAACTACTTTGCGAATCATCCAAAAACCACCTCAAGCAAGCGTAAAAACTTTTTTTTAGCCAATTGAGGATTTTTTTCCAATTTTGCTGTTTCCATCCGACTTTTTTTCCCGCATTTTTAATGCGACACTTCTAAATGCTCATCAAAAAGCCTTGATGGAAACACGGTTATTGTCCTGCTTCTTCTATGGTTTGTCACAAAAACATCTAAATATTACACCTGCTTGAATTTTCGAGGCCCAAAACTCAAAATAAAATAACTAGCAGTGGTCATGCATCACGCCTCCTAGTTTGAGAACCACTGAGTGTACGTATGTGATCGGTGTTTGTGTCCCTTTTGGATGCATGTATGTGTGTGGTTTTTCTTGTTCTACCACTTTGTCTAAATGTCCTTCAGTGAAATTTCTTGGCAGTCCAATTTGTGTATGTGACTGCATGCATGTCCCACTTATCCCTGCTGGTTCCCACGTTTTCTGTGTTTGTTGTTAGGAGGACATGCCGTTGACGAGACTCCTCAGCTGTTTGACTACAGTCTCTATCAGCTTCTGCTTGTCTCTGTCGTTCTTCCTGAACTGAGAGAAGATGTTGTTCTTCTTGCTGGTGTCCTTCATCCTGCAAACACACAAACAGTCAAATATTTAGGTTCACCAGTCGAGGCTTTCTGACGCTTTTCAGACATAATGTTAAGTAATGCCTGTGTCAGTACATAATGTTAGCATCTTCTTGTGGATGTGTGGAAATGTTCATCAACCATCCATAATGTGGAGCAATGTTTATTCTGCATCAAACAGCCCCGCCCCTTTTTGGGCATATCTTTACACTCACAAACTCCAGAGCTGTTTTATCCAACCAGAGCAGAGCAGGGTGGGACTTTCAGCAGAGACAGTGGAAGCAGCGGCTCGACTTGAACAGCGGCTGCAGCGATCAGTCCTGACATCTCCTCCTGCACTTTGCTCCTGAACTACCAGACACTTTGGTCTGTAAAACCTAACTTTATATTAAATATATGTTCAGAGCGATGTTATCCAACGGATCTGTCCAACTTTGCGTGAGTGACTAAACTCTGTCCTCCTGAGAGACGGGAACGTGCCTCAGCGTGTGTAGGCTGAGTCTTTCTGTGAGATTCACTGTTCGAGTTCTTCTGAACCATATTACCTCTAACAGAAGAACATTTATTTACGGAGCCCATGACGGGACGGGAGATTTTTTTTCCTTTGCGCTCCCACGCAATAGTATTGCGTTCCCTCGCAAAAGTCGTTTATCACTGTTGTGCTACCAGTTTATTAACAAACTCACATGTTTACCATTAGTGAGTTAGCCTACTGCTTTAATTCAGCTTCAGAATGAATATATCACACAGACACACATGGAAGTATGTCATATGCAGATATTTTAACACAGTGCAGCCACGCAACATCAATGTCAATTTCACGAACTTGTGGCGACACATCCTGTTTTGGTAACTGGATATTTCTCGCAAGATTCTGAGTATTGCTTCACGGCACCTAAAACTCGCGAGACTACGTCTGTGAGAATTTAGAAGAGGGGGAGGGCTGTCAAGGCTGGAACGTTAAATAAACAACGTTGCGCTCTAAAAGTCTCGCGATCGACTGGCAACCAGTCGGCGATCGACTGGTAGATCGTGATCGACTGGTTGGGCACCCCTGCTTTAAATGGTCTGAGCAGAGCTTGGATTCTTTGTTTTCCGGTCTTTCCTCCACATGGCATCAACACAAACCTTCTGCCCTCAAGGATCTTAATTTTTTTAAAAAGCTGGCAGCTGACTCTGCACCACTTGTGAACCCAAAGGCCACAAAATACTCCACTTCAAGTTTACAAAATCATGTAAAAGTCTTAAAAACAAAAGCTGCTTCTACATGTAATCCTATGAGAAGTGAGAGTCGTTCAGCAACTAACACGTCACACAAGCTCCGCCCCCCAGGAGCTCTGAATGGGATTCAAAAATATGTTTTTTACGCAGTTTGTAGAAAATTACATGTTTTGGTCAAATTTACAACAATATTTCGACATTTTATTAATATTCATACTACATACAACATATACTATCAAATTATTCAGTTATTTCACTAAATAAAGTAGCCTTCATTTCACCTTTAAGTTGGGTTAAACAGCAGGTCGGTGATTGCATCATTTTGGACGTCTTTTCCTGATCGAGTATAAACAGGCTGGAGACGTGACGGGCCATATATTATAATTCCTCCCTCTGCCCTCCCACAGCTCTTATAAGTATATAAACAACAATAATGGCTGGATATTTGTGTTGTGTTTGGTGAAGAGTCTGCAGAGGAAAAACTTTTTTTCTTAATGGTGGTAATGGAAAAAAGACATGAACATCAGCTGCATGCTCATGTTCAAGTGGATCAAACCAGCTGCTCTTCTAGCAACAGGCTTCAGTGAAAAGATCACATTCAGAAGGAAGAGCTGCTGGAAGTCCTGCTCTGGTCCTTCAGCGCTGCGGTGCTCCTCAAGAATAAACACACCCACCAAGTTCTGACCAATCACACACTCTGAGCTGCAAGGTCCGCACTGCAGAGTTCTGACTGGGGGTAACGCACACGACCGCTGTCACCGAGGACCGCAGCAGGAGAGCAGACGGACGTTGCTTCATTTTTTGTCCCTCAGCAGGGGGACTGAGACGTGCGACTCGAAGCATAAACCAGCCTTTAGTCTGAACACGTGAAGAGGGAGTTTCAGTAATCAATATGTGAGTACAAAACCATAAATCATTTTTCTAACTCTTGGAAAGTTAACTGAAGGTGTAATTTAGCTATGATTTCTACTGGAGGTAACTGAACTGAGCTACAGACTGGTTTGTTAAATTTGAGTTGTGGGTTCAAAATGACGTTTTCCATATTTAGAGTGAGCAGCACGAAAACCTGTGGACTGGATAATATTGTCAGGAGCTTGAATCAAAGCAAAAAATATAAATAAATAAAAAATAAATAAATAAATGAAACCCTGTGGTTTGACTCTGATTTAGTTGAAGAATTTTTGAGGACATCCAGTTTACAGCAGTAAACAGGCTTAACAGACAGAATATCATCGATAAAACTCACAGCTCCCCCTTTATGAACTGACCCAGGAACAGGTCCAAGAACAGACCCCTGAGGCATGTCACGTGTCAGAGATGAATATATTACCCGTCACATCACAGGACGATATGTGTTTTTGTTTTTACAGAAAGGAAAATGTTCCGTGTGTAACAGATTAGTTTGACAGCAGCTGGTGGAGTGCTGTTCTTACTTCTCCAGTAGAGCCAGGGCGGTGGCTGGGTTCACTCTCAGGTACTTTGAGTTTGGCTGGCCATAGTCTGCCAGGTAAGTAGACCAGTCCCACACCATGAACAGGTCCAGGAGCTACAAGAAGAGACGCCATTAAAACACACACTCACACACTTGCCAATATCACATTTATTGGATAAAAGGCAATCATATAATTTAGATCAGATGAAGTGAGGCCAGAGCTGATAACATCTTACTGCAACAAGTGTAACTATATTTTATCAAAAGAAATATAGCACTGGTAGTCCTTTGCAAAGTACAAATTAACTTTAAGTTATTTCTTATTTGCCAGGTCAGCAGATTTGTCTTTAAATTATTTTATTTCACTCAGAGAGTGAAAATTACTTAAAGCACATGCTGTCAATAGGACCCTGCAAAATACCAGTTGACCATAAAAGGCCATATGCTAGTAGGGTTGGGCATAATCGTATCGTGTGCAATTAATCGCCAGAAAAACATTAACCGATTACTTTTTGGCACTTGAAGATTAATACGATTAATGCCATCAGGCAGAGTCTGCTCGCTGCTCCTCTCTGCTTCAAATATGATGAACATTAAAAAAAGGTTTTGTAATTCATTTATCTATTAACACCATTTGAAATTTGAAGTATAGCCTGAAGTCTGTATTTTTGACACAATTTGGAACAGATTTTTATGAAGAGCAAATCTTTCCCACTGAATTGGTCATGTGACTAGGACATAACGGTGTCCAAGGACTCCAGGGGATTAATCGTCAAATTAATCATTATCGGCTAAATACCCCAATTAATCGTGATTAATTTTTTGCCAATATTGCCCAACCCTATGTGCTAGAAAATAATTTTACCTTTCTGACTGATCGTTCATACTGCCTTGACATTTCTGTTTTGTATCTCTTTTATAACTGCTACGAATTGTCATAATCTGTCCTTATGATTTAGAGGCACTACTGAAATCTGGTGTCCTCGTCCCACATTGAAGCCATTGTAATATTTGTCATTCTGTCATTGGTTGTTCAATGCTCCGCCCAGATGTAAAAACAATTTCCTGTTTGTTGCTAGTTCAGTTTGCGGTTTGCCCAGAGCTTTGATTTTCTCTGGTCACGTCGCGGCTTGTCTTGCGAATGCAAAACCTTTTATTAAATTATTCAACGACCATTCACGCAGTGCATCTTCCTTTTATTGACGTGTTTCTGCCTTTGAATAAATATTTCCACAACAGGCCATAAAGTTGATCATTCATTTATAATAAAAAGGATTTTTCCATTAAAAGACTATCATACAAAGGAGCTATATTTAAAAAATATCAGCTCATGCAGTCAGTTTTTGCAATTTATTTTTCATGTTTGATCATTTACTGAAATACATTTGTCACAGTAGAATTATCTCACAGTTTAGTTTCTCAAGCCTTTTTTCTACCTACCATCTGAAACAAAAAGGAATTATGGATTTGGTCAACTGGTCTCTGAACACATCTGACACTATTTTTACCACATTAAGATTGGAACGATGGGAACAAAGCTGTCTGAGTGGAACGGTTGCTTCTGGGTGCATCAGTGGTTCTTGGTGGGAGCTGGAACCTGATGTGTCTGGCACCACTTTCCATTGAAGACGTGGAACAGCAGAGGCGGATTCCTGATCTATTGAAAAGTGAAAACGACCCTAACAGTGGTCCGGGCCGTTGAGAAGGAAAGGATTCTGCCAGGCTGGAAGCACACAGACTCAGTTGTTGTGGGAGATAAATCGTAAACTGGATGTGGTTCTGACAAGAATTGCATCTCAGGAGCGAGCCTCAGCATGAGGGATCATATCTGGATGAAGCTCCAGAATGGTGAGAGGCGAGAGGACCCCAAATTCGGCTGATTGGAATTTTTTTTCGCCACTTCAGAAATGCAGTTAAGACATTAAAAAGCAGCAGGAATTCAATGATGTTTCGTCCAAAACAATCGTGTGTATCTATTTGGCTCCCAGCGGCATGACCTCGACTGCCATGCTATCTAAACTCCCCAAGGATGATATGTCAACAAGGGCTTAATTCCCTCCCACCCCCATCTGTGAACCCAAGGCTGAGGAGGAGGAAACTCTGAACTCTGGCGAGCCGAGCAGGACACTATAACATCATGTGACTCTGGACTCTGGGAGGACTAGGGTTGGGCTCTAGCATGGAGATCCACCCTCAATGTCACCGGCTCCACTGAACCCCTCCCCATCTCATGTGTTACCTGACCCAAGCTCCCTCCCCGCCCCAGCTGTCTGCTCTGTCACGAGTGGATTTTTGTGCATATGATTTTGTTTCTGGTGTAAATATTGGAGCAGAGCAATTTTTTTAACTCATCTCTCCTATTGTGTATTTCCAACTGCAAAAGGTAGTGCTACAGGTTGCACATGACATGTTCACCTGTTGCCCTATGTTTTGTTATGTGTGTCTTTTCTTGACAGGGTGTTCTTAACTGCAGTTTCGTTCTACACTTTATCCCTGATGTTATATGAATGACAATAAAGCAAATCTGACTCTTCACTATAAGCAAGCAAGGCAAAGCCAAATAGTTGAAAGCTTGTTTATATTGCTGTGAGAGTGTTTACCTGTCGTAAGTCAATGAATGCCAGTTGGAGTGTGTCACCTTGGAAGCCAGGGACTGGTTCTGAGCTGGCAAACACTAAGAAGAAACAAAAACACAATCAGTTTTTTAGATTTTGAGTCTAATTCAAACAGCTTGTAAAAGACAATGAACTTAAAGGGATCCATGATTAGTTGTAACATTAGACTTTATTTAATAAACATATATTTTAACTGTAAAATAAAGACTGTAAAAATACTGTAGGATGTTCAGTTTTTATAATTTTTAAACTAAAAATTAAAAAAAATATTACATGGACGGGGCCATTTTATTTACACGCAAAGCATTCTGGGTAAATGATGACGTGGATAGGTCCTCGGTGCGAGGCTGCTAGCGAGCTATATCCACCCTGAAGGTTAATCTTGGACAATATCTGATGATCGACTCTTTTAAATGAAACCAGAGAGCGTTGACAGAGAGGAGAAGGTAGAAATGACTCAGCCTGGAACTGAAAATATGGATGGAGGACAACAGAGCTGCTTCATGGAAGAAGAACCTCAGATTAGCCTGTTAGCTTTAGCATTAGCCCCGATGCTATCACCATATATATGTATTAGCTCAGCGCTACACATTCTCCTCTCGTCACTGAGGTCCTCCATCCACATGACAGAGAGGGGAACACAAAAATGACTCAGTTGTAACTGAAAATATGGATGGAGGACCTCAGTTTAGCTTGTTTGTTGCGCTAGCACCGAGCTAATACATATAAGGCAATATAGCGTCGGTGCTAGCGCGAAGGCTAGCAGGCTAATCTGAGGTTCTTCTTCCATGAAGCAGCTCTGTTGTCCTCCATCCATATTTTCAGTTCCAGGCTGAGTCATTTCTACCTTCTCCTCTCTGTCAACGCTCTCTGGTTTCATTTAAAAGAGTCGATCATCAGATATTGTCCAAGATTAACCTTCAGGGTGGATATAGCTCGCTAGCAGCCTCGCACCAATATTTTACAGTTAAAATATATGTTTATCAAATAAAGTCTAATGCTACAACTAATCAGGGATCCCTTTAAGGCTCAATAATATTGAAGAACATGGATGAGATTTGCTTTGGTTGTGAACATTGTTGGGTTATTGTAGTTGAAACACCTCTTTAATGTTTCATGGAGGACTAGAAGAACACCTTATGAAGTTGTAAACAAGATCAACTGGTGAAAAATTAAAATAAAAGGGGAGAAGAGAATGTGCACAAACAATAGAGGAATTACATTGTTCAGTCTTCTGGGGAAATTCCACAACGAGATATTAGAAAGAAGGCTCCAACCAAGTGTCAAATCTCAGATACAAAGTAAGTCATGTGACTTTTGGCCATTTTTAGTCATAGACCAGATCGTGAAGCTTTGCTATGGGTGTCATAAGAGGTGCAGAAAAATCTGTCCCTCTACTCAGTAGTGTCCCCATGTGATACCAAGCAGCTGACATACCATACCATTTGGGTGCCAAATTGGCTAGTAGTCTAATAATCATCATATTCAATTCAATTCAAAAATACTTTATTGATCCCAAAGGGAAATTAGATGTTGTAATAACTCATTTAACTAAAGAATTATTGTAGATGGTGATGGCTGTGGGCAGGAAATATCTTGTGTAGCGGTCTGTATTACAGTGAAAGTGAAGCCTCTGACTGAAGACACTCGACAACTGCAGAGTCATCTGAGTATTTCTGTAGATGACAGCAGTCCGACTTGTGCTGGAAGTCTGAAGTGTACAGTGTGAACAGGAATGGTGAGAGTACAGTTCCCTGTGGTGCTCCTGTGCTGGTCGATAACCCACATTTACCAATATTACACAAACACACAAATTATTTATATACATAAACGCACAAATACACTCGTGGCATTTTTCAATACCGTAAAAATGACCAGTCTGCTGACATGACTCTCTACTTCAGTTATTCACAGTATCACTAACACTATCATGATCAGATACCACTCGACCAACTATTTCCCCTCCCAAAACAGAAACACAAAGCTCTAAAAGGGGATATCAATATCGGTTGTTAATATCGTCCCAGTTTTACTTATCAGATTGTTAATGCTGATATATTGTGAACCCCTAATTTTTATAGATAAAACTAAATAAAATCTGGTTTTATTTCAGCTCCACATTTCTCTGTACTCACATTCACACTGTATAACATCTAAGTTGAACTGCTGAATGGCTCCCATACTGATCTGCTTGAGTTCTGTGTCCAGCAGCATCTGCATCAGTGACATGGACAGATGTTTACAAGCAGACATGCACGCCGTCTGAGCCACTTTTCCCTGCAGAGAGAGACAAGGGTAGGAGGGGAGGGGAGAATGCAAGTATGGGAACATCAGAAAAAATGACAAAGAATGAGAAAAATAACTTTAGGTCAAGAAAAAATGAGACAAACACTGAATAATAGCATGAAATAACAGAGTGAAGAGTAAGGATGAAAAAGTGTGGATGAAGATCAAAGAGCAGGAGATGGTGTGTCAGAAACATAAATATGAAAAAAATGTTGACTCTAAACAACATGTAAAAACACAACAAAAAGCTTTTACCACTGGCCCAGTTAGGCCAGGAGTCAGGAACTTGTGGGTAATAAAAGTAAATGTTCTTAAAATGATTGTGAAACTTTGAGTTTTTAGTGAAAACCTGTTTAAGTTGAGTAAAAGCATTTAAAATAGCATCACATGCAATTATTGCAGCTAATTGTAAAGTAATCAACTCAACTTTAGTTGACTGGTTGATTTTTCTGTGGCAGAGTGATTAGGGGAGTCATCCTGGAACCGGAAGAAGGTTGCCGGTTCGATCCCCCGTCCAGCTGTCTCAGTTGTTGTGTCCTTCGGCAAGACACTTCAGCCCTAATGCCTCTGATGTGTCCCATCAGTGTATGAATGTGATTGGCACTGATTAGTCTCCATAATGATTGTACATGTTATCTCTGTAGAGAGCTAACAGAGTGCTGTGTGAATGGATAAATGAGGACACAGGTTGTAGTGTGAAGAGCTTTGAGTGTCCTGGATGGATAGAAAGGCACTATAAGTCCAGCCCATTTACCAAATGTAAGTAAAAAAACATGAAAAAAGTGAATTTTGCATATTTGTTCCCCTTTAATATGTATTATGATAGTACAAGAAAGCCGTGTACCAGTCTGATTAATGTTACCCACAATTAAAATAAAAATATGTTCAGGTGGGAGCAGGTATTTTTCTAAGAAAATATTAGACTAGACTTGTTTTTTTTACAAGACGCAACCTGCAAGGAGGGACATAAAAAAATAACAAATAACTAATTAAATAAGTAATGTTCACTCTTTTCAAAAAAAAAAAAAAGTGCCAAACCTTTCAACATCTGTGTTGACTTTGATACAGGAAATTAATGTCTGCCCCACTAATATCTATGCTCATGAGCAGCTATTGACTAGACTTGATATTACTTTTTCCTTAGGAGGACATTAATGTAATGTATCTTACTGTGATACAGCAAGCCTTTTCTGGAAACAATGGGCCTCATGTAAGAACATTTTCATATTTTTATCCTAAATTTCTCTTACTTTTGTTCAAAGGGCTCATCGAAAAATGCCACGTCAGATTCAACAAACTCTTCTATCTTCAGGAAAAGTGTGTAAATGAGCTGCGTAAACATGATGACTGCCATCTGTTCATATTCAGGTGCACGAGGACAGGCGATCAGCTTAATTACCACCCCAAAAACTCCATATAAGGCCATGCTTCCTGCCCCACATACCAGGATGTGTTCATTCATGAAAATGGCAGCAAAAAGTAAAAAGAAGAACTTCTCGAGTTCAGAGATTGAAGTCCTGCTCTCAGAGATCCAGAAAAGGAAATCTGTCATTTTTAGCAGCGTCAGCTGTGGAATTAAAGGAGTTGCTGTTAATGTCGTGTCTCCCGTGGGTCGTACAGTCACAAAAATAAAAATCTAAGTTATGTGGGAGAAATGAGAAAACAAATGGTAAATAATTTTTATGTATTCAGTAGAGTGGCTCTACTGAATAAAGCCTGGACAGATGTGTCAGTCCCCCGCCATCTCCCATGCATGCAAGTGATGTCAGATGTGCTTCCAAAGAATCAAGAAAACCTTTTAAAATGTCTCTGAAATATGTCTGACACTTTGGAGAAAATAGCAGACAATCTTGCAGCTGATGTGCTGAATAAATCTGAACAAAACATTTGATTAAAACAATAACCTAATCTATGTCTGAATAAATGTTCACTTCCTTTTGGCTTCATTATATATATACCGAGACAAATTAAACTTCAATTAATGCATTATTTAAGTTGGTTTGTAGTTTGAGATATTCATATTAATATTGTAGTGTTATACAACAGCATTAAAAGACTATTTAAATTATATCGTTAGTCTACATTATTACATTTAAAATTATAATTCTAATTCAAACAGAAAAGCCTATTGTCAAGATAATTATGGAGTGTGACTTTTATTCAACTCAAAATATCTTCAAACTAATGAAATATGAAATTATTAGTGAAGAAAATCAGTATGGATAACAGCAGACTGATTGCACGTAAAATATACGACAGGTATATTTGTTGGTGAATTTTGTTTGTATCTGAAAAATAAAAAGAAAAAAAAAGAAAAAAGAAAAAAATAGTATAGGTCTTCTGGACTGGTTCTTCTCTAATGAAACGTTTCGTCTCTCCTCCAAGAG